GTCATACTTATTTCTTTTGTACTATCTCGTTTCTCAAAAACTTTTTCTTATTTTTAATGGAAAGTAACCAATGTACACTTATAATTTTTATCTTTTATAATGCAATTGTGTATGAAAAATTCATGATTTAGTAATATACGAATAATATAAAGTTTAATTGTTATAGAGTATTTTTAATTAAAATTAATATAGAATCAAATATTACCCAAGACTTTGGAATAGCGGTCATCCTAATGATATCATTAACGATAACTTTTATTAGGAAGACTGAATCGGTATTGTTCTTAGGAATCTTTTGGGTTTCAAAGAATTCATATTTAAATTAAGTGTTTCTCACATAAAGACGCTACTAATGACTAAGTATTTTTTTTATTAATACATATTCTATGCTAAATATACATATTCTATGCTAAATAAAATATCAGAATAAATTAGTATGGATTTTCATTTAATCTACTGAGTCTTATTTCTAAAAAATATTTTCGTTCAACGATATGTATTAACAAAATTTATTAATATATCAAACCATGTGGGCGTTGTATCAGGTATCTAGTCCAAAATATATTATGATAAATACGAAGAATATTATTTTAAGTATAAGACGAATCTTAAGGAGATAAGATTACGTTTGTTTTTGTATGATTATTCTGGATTATGAAAATAAAATATTTTGACTGTTCCTTTTTGTTACTATCAGCTTATTTTTTTCTTGTGACTTCCACTTGAATAAGATTTTACTGTCATACTTTGTATATACTAAAACCAATGGATCTGTTAAAACTAGTTTGCTTTATGTGATAAAAAGTTGTGTTAATTTAACTCTCTAGGAGTTAATCAATCAGTATTAAAAGGATGGCGAATTTTGTTTTTGGACTCTTGGTTAACTTTTTCTACTTTTGTTATATGTATCAAAAATTAAGTACCTATACATATCGAAAAATGAATTGCTGTCACCCTGTATATAAAAATCTATAGTCTCACTAAAACTCGAGAACGGCTGAACAGATTTATCTTATCTTAGTCTTGAAATGTTCGTGGAGGTTCGGGGAAGGTTTAAAAGCTGAAAAAATTTATTCATTTCCGGGAAAACCTTAAAAACAGCCTTTTTCTATTTCTCATACAAACTGTGTTTTTTTGACATTAGATTTGCTAACTAACTAATATGTCAATCATTCTGTCGCACTTCAAAACACGGAGATTTATGGCTTAAAGGTAAACTCCAAAAATATAAATAAAAAAACGTAACAGATATTTCTTGATTATAGAGCGATACGAAGTTCACCGGGTCTTCTAGTAAGCAATGTAATTACATGGTTGGTGGTTTATTTTGTGAATGTTGCCGCTCTGTCAGTAGAAAAATATGTTGGCCTATTTGTTTTATTATAACTTATATCTGCGCACATTCGGTACGTAGTGAGATTAAAATAAAGTTTTGTACGTTCACCGATATTAGAATTATTTTATTTCATTTCAACATCTACGATCCGTTTTTTAGGTTTATTATTAAAAAACTATTCATTTTGATTATTTTTCAGAATTTTTGTCAAAACATTACAGGTTAATGTACTGGGTATTAAAAATTTGGTTGTTTAAAAAAATAGCGACTGGATTTATGGTAAAAATAATATCAAAATCATTAAAAATAATAACATTGACTCGATTTCCTTCAGTGAGTATTAGTGAAATGAAAAACCGGTTTGACCAATTTGTTCCCAGATAAATCTTGAAATCAAATAGAAAATATTTTAAAGTATATCAATGAAATGAAAAAAAGGGAAGAAAATATGTATATATATAAATGTATTTTATTTACTTGGATTATGGTAATAAAGAAATAATACTGCTTATAAAAATATAATTAACAACTTGATTTTAATTTATTTGTTTTCGAGAAAACACTCAATTAGGTTTTCCATATATTTGATAATATAATTAGGTACCTAAAACTCGACAAATACCAATTTAATGATTTTGTATGAGCGTATATTTACTTGTCCTGTAAAATTTCAAACATGTTCAATTTTATAATATTCTTGTATTTTCTAGTGTTTAAAGTATTGTATAACTCATATAAGAGGGATCTTCAAGTAAGCCTATTTATAGTTTTTGTTACTTTTGCTTATATATTTGAATAAATACATAATGAATGTTTATGTAAAAGCCAGTTCAATTTTCATATAAAAATATTTTACAGCCATAATTATTAAAGTATCATAAATAATTTAAACAAATGATCTTCTTCGTGAACTTTAAAATCCCTTTCAATGACAATATGACACTAAAATCGTTATTTATTGTAATAGTTTATTGTCTCGAAGATTATTATATATTTATTCACTGACAAGACTTATCTTAGAATGAAAAATCTTATTAAGTCGATCGTTTTAAATAAAACACTTATTAGTTATTTACTATATAATTTAAATATTAAAATTGAAATTACTTAAAAATATTAGGTTCTGATTTTTATAATAGGAAAACGTATATTTCTTTCTCTCCGTTCGGATACTAAGTGCGTTACAAAATATATTAACCTAATTATCTATTCCCATGTGCATGACAAAATATATTTTCTTTCAAAACAGGAGAGAGGAGAGGAGATAAAAGTAAGCAAACCTCTTTGAGTTACATACAAAGTAATAACAATATGTAACAAAACCCGATTTTTATTAAGATTGCAAGTATTACTGCATATCTGTATAAATGTTTCAATATAAGTTAAAAATAATTCTCGTTAGAAATATATGTCGTACGTGGTGTAATAAATGATCAAGGGTTGCAAGAATATGCAATAAATATTCGTATATTAGTTGCTATAATATTGAAGTTCAAAGAAGTAGCAATATCATTGTAATAACAGTACAAAACAGTACATATAAAATTGTTGACTTTAAATTTCCTTTATATACGTACGTGAGTTATCGAGGTAGTATTTTACTAGGAATAGTTTAAAGATTGCCAGATTACTACATATTTAACATAGTTGTTATCTTTTAATAAAGATAAAAGAATATCTTTGTAAAATAAATTGACTGTGATCAGTAAAATCAAAATTTATGTTAAATTATGTCGGGTTTGACGAAAAATTGAATTCCGTTACTCAAGTAAAACAGTAAAAGGGAAAGCGGCTAATTAGATCAGACCCGAATTTCACTTTGGTATAATATAAATAACACTTTGCTGTTTCCATACGGTCTAGTGGTTACGGTATGTATGTATGTATGTACATAATATACTATGTACAACGTACATACCTCTTCATTATACAACATTCATAGGAGTCTGCTACAGTACATAGTACATGTACACTACATAGTTGTTACAAATGCGTTTTCATCAGTGACTGAGAGGGTCAGGCATTCCTCAAATTGTTTCAGAAATTCCAAGTACGACCGAAACACATATTATTAGAACAACTTGCTTTATAGTGACGTTACCCACTTATTGAACTTTTCATTTAAATAAACCTAATATTATCTGATGTACTACGCTTTTTTATTATTTCAAACTACATACTAATAATAAAAAAAACAAGTATCTACTACATGCGGAAATATTAGTTTTATTTAAATGAACACTTAGAAAAGTCTTAAATATAATTTCTTGTGTGTTGCCTTTTCATAAAATAAAATAATCTCCTTAATATTTTTAAACAAATTACACATATCAAACTTATTAGTCTTGTCCCATAATTGTGTTATATTAAGGTGCTTACAAATCGTAAAAGTAACATCTACATAACATATCGTCTTTAATCTAAATGCGTAAATATTCATGCTGACGAATGACTTAATTTTGTGTCCGTGAAAAAAGGTAAAAGAAAAGTAGTATAGCTGATTTTTTTTCAAGAAATATGTTTCTTTTAGCATCAAAATACATTATATATCTTATTGATTCTATGTACTTCAATGGAAGATCAATCCGGTATTAATATTTTCAGGAGCAAACAAAAATATAAATTTTTTGTTGCAATATTTACTTGATAATTCTGTCGTCTAACAAAGAAAAGTTTGGGAGAATCATTATTCAAATAGCATAGGACACTCTAATGACGCAAATAGCTCGTGGAAATAGAAAATCATTAAGGTCATCGCCATAGCATAAGGAAAGCCGTCGTAAGGAGCTGGAAATTGGAAATTAATTGCTATGGACCGTTCAAATTTACATTTCATTACGTCTAAATTGAAGTCTAATGTAACTTATTATTAGTATATACTCGTACCTTTATACATGTATAGACAGACACACACACATATACATATATATGTGTGTGTGTCTGCGTCATCTTCTCAGTATTAAAAAAACAATTTCCGTATAGAGTAACTTCCTTAGTTTGTACGGGGTATAAACTTTAAGGTGCTTTCAAACTTTATATTCTTGGAAAAGAAAAGGGATAAGTCTTGAACTTTATCCTGTTATATAGTCACATAACAACATCACGTGTGAAGTCAAATTCACTTTGATGTAATCCGACGGCATATATTATCATGACTATCATGTTGTTATAAATTATAATATCGATCGAAATAATAGATACGTTATTAGGGGGGGGGGGGGGGGGGTAAGGGTAAAAAGTTAGGTAATAGGTATACATATTGTATACCTATGAAGCATATATTTTAGAGGATTTCAGTTTTAATGCTGAAAAAAAGGTTTCCTATATATGTACATTATACATCCCTACTAATATTGTAAATGTTAAAGTAACTGTCTGTCTGTCTGTTACGCTTTCACGTCTAAACAACTGAACTGATTTTAATGAAATTTGGTACAGAGATAGAGTTGACCTTGAGAAAGAACATAAGATGGTTTTTATCCCAGACTTTTGAAATGTTCTCTTGGAAACGCGATATAATCGAACTCCACGCGGGCGAAGCTGCGGGCGGAAAGCTACATAGTATACTATATTTGTAATATTTCAGATTTAACCCAAAATTAATTAGAATTACTGTAATTTTATATGAATAGATTCAATTATAAAATACGTATATTTGTTCCAGGTCACGAGAATGGCGATCCTCGAGCTGTAAGTACTTCACCATTTTAATATGAATAAATCAATTATTAAAGTGATTTTCGATATCGTTCTATTAAGGATTTCTTCTGTAGATTTAATATTTTTGGGGTTCTAGATTATATGGTATAAATAACTCAGATTTAATTAAAGAATGTGTATTCATTGACATTTATAATACACATCATGATAAGTTTTCATTAGGAGGCTTATTATAGCTAACCTCAAACCTGCCTTTGTCCTAAAATACAGATCTTAATATAATTTAATCTAATATTAACTCAGTAAATTATTTTATATGAAAAGTAACTCAAATTTTACGTTTTGTATAATAGAATTTCTAACTTCATATTAAATTTTTAATTGTACTACTTAGTCATCGTCGCTAAACTTAAAGTATCAGAAAAACCGATAATATTCCTTATATAACCGGCTTAAGAGTAAACATTTTCCACGTTTTTTTTAAATTGTTTCTCAGATTATTGATTTATTAAGCACGAGGCAATACACGTGTCAAAACAACTGAGCAGTTTTTATAATGGCTATATTGAATAATAATGAAATTCAATAGAAACTTTGAAATAGTGAATTCTTTGTTATAAAAGTCATATTGACGCAATGAACGACAAGGTGTGTTATAAATTTGAGTCTTATGTGTGTGTATATACGTCCGAAATTGAGTTACTCGTCATAATACAAGAAAATTATATATTATTAAAATTGAAAAACGTCTGTATTAATACAGAAATAGAAGATAAATTTGTACGGAGATTTCTTATTTTTTCGTGAAGTATATTAATATTCAAAACACCTTGCTAAGTATTCTAAAAGGATTTATTATGGTCTTACAGCAAAGCGATTTTTTTTAATATCGCCAAAGAGGATGAAAGTTATTTATAGAGAGATTTATTAGAACATTAAATTATGTTTGACTTGACTAATGTAATATATTAAATATGAAAATAGCTTCTATTAGTAGTAATAATTTATTTTGGCTTTGTTAATGTGCGAAGCAGACATGGTATCAAAGTAATGTTCAAATATTTAATAAGAGTATAAAAGCCTTTTCAAATTGGTATAAACCTCGTTTTTTTCAGGACGTTCCCGTTAAGGAATTGGAAAATCTTAAAATGGGTGAGTAATATTTAGGTTCTTTTAATATTATTTAGCTTTTATTTGTTTTTTCTGATTTGACTAACGATGTAAACATGACCCGCTTTGATCGTCGCTTTAGTGACAAAGTAACAAATATTTGTATAAATTTTAACAGATTTGGTTCTCAATTTGCAAATATAGAATGTCTATCATACATTAAATTGTATACAAAAAGTATGAAAGATAATATCACTGTTTTATCTGTTATAAAAATAAATAAGTTTTGCTTAGCATTCAGAGTAGTTTCGTACGATACATTATTATTTTATGCTAACTTTGTTTTTGTATTTTATCTCTATGTATTATGTAAAATCCTTATTTTAGTGTTAAATATACTTTAAATTACAACACAGAATTAAAAATTTTCATGATGTATTCATATACGCACATATCATTGATTTCGTCTTAATCCTATTTGTTTAAAAACTCGTGCCGGTTGTTAAAACTATGAAAATATTTATTTTTCGCTGAAACAAATACGTAATATTGGTTTTGGATATTATTCGATTACATATGGCTATAATATTTTAAATGTGTGCTATAATAATTTCTACAATATTAACTACATAGACTAAGAATATATGTATAATGTTAATATTTTTATACACGAGACCGTTAACATTTGTTATGTATTGGATGGGAAAGTATCCTGTAACGATAACTTCAAGCTTTTTAGATAACGTTCTCGATAACAGCTTTATCGATTTTAAATGCATTTGTAGATAATTTTAACCAATGTTTATATATACCTAAAATATTATGATAACAATCTAAGCGCACGGTAGCGCGCCGGCCAAGTTCCAGCAACAGGCAGCGCGCACGCCGTGCACTATTTACACGAACCGTTTCGACCCACTTTTGACCCCCCTGTAGCTCAGTGCCTATTGCAAGTACAGAGATAAAATTGTACTTACGTAATCATATACTAGTACTAAAGCAGTATGCCAAATTTCACAGATAAAGCTTCAGTAGATCCTGAAATATGACCCTGTGAAAATAGCTAATTTTGGCACTGACTCACTGACAGGTAATCAAAACCCTTAGGCCACTTCCCATTATTTTAGCATTATGAAATTTGGTACACAGGTTGTGTGTTATATGTAGATTAACAAAAAAATAAGAAATTTAAGAAATCGGTCAAGCGTGAGTTGCCTCAATTCTAATATCGAATTATTAATAAAAATATTTATGAACCAGTGAATACAATGAGAATACGAAGCGGTGGAAAGGGGGGGGGGGGTATAAAATATGTAATAAAAAATTTAAGAAATCGGTCAACCGTGAGTTGGCTTAATCGAATATCGAATTTTTATTACCCATTGTATATTAGCATCACTTGTATTTTTTTTTGTTTGTATGTATGTAACTCTCCTTTTTTTAACACGCTTCTTATGCACTGCTGTGATATGGGTATCAAATGAAAGAGTTTGAGGAGAAGAATATGAAGATAAAAATAATACAAGAATATCGGGACGATAAAATATTGGGACGGCAAAATATCCAGACCAGACGAAAAAATATCCGGACGACAAAAAGTTTTTCTAAAACTCAAAACTATAGAATAATATCTATATATATATATATATATATATATATATAGGCGCTCAGCTCAGCACAATAAAATACATAATAATGAAATATTAATAATATGAGTACTTCTATCAATCGGTGATAAATGAAACTTAAAAATAAAAAATAAATATAGTTAAAAAAAAAACTAAAAAACACGCTCTAATGATGAAAGAAACCGCGTGGAAACTAATTTAACCTTTACAACCTTGGAAATCAATTTAATTTAAATTGTTTAAAATAAACAATAAATGGTATTATTGAAAAAAAAGCGTGGGGCGCTTCTCAAGAAGTGATATATGAAGCTCCCCACGCTTTTTTTCACAAAAATACCAGTTATTGTTTGTTAATTTATTTTTAAATTAATATTATTGTGAAAAAAGTGTGGAGCGCTTAATTAAATTTAATTATATAAATAATAAATTAATGATACAATTAATTAAGTGTTACGTTCAGCACGAAAACCTGCCAAGTTCAAATTTAGAAGTATTATTATTTTAGATATTTTTAACCAAGCACCTACGTATTTTCACAACTATACCATATTTTAAGTTGGTTGTATGGTAAAGTGAATTTCGGCCAGATGGACCGTTGACGTGAATAAGGTGGCGGGTAGTGGTTGGATGTGGAAGGCAGAGGACTGGGTGTGGTGGCGAGTCTTGGGTATGGCAAATGTTTACCAGTGGATCATGCTGTTGATGAAGATGATTATGATCGATTTCAAAGTGCATCTAAACTTGGCATTAGATTGGATTTCAACCCTTTTTTAGGCAAACAATTAGCCGAATGGAACTTGGCCCCCTTTTTAACAGGCATGTTTTTGGTGAGATAAATATAACAGGAGTATGTGTCAATCATAATAATATCATTAAAATTTACGTCTTTTTGTTTGAGAGTCGTTACTGCTATTTGAATATTCTATCGGCTTATAAATTATTGAGTTTGTTCAAAATTAATAAATTGTTATAGTACTAAATGACAATATATAAATGTATATAAGTTAATATATTGTAAGATGTGTTTTCTTATTACACATATGTAAGTGTAAGTTAACAACGGCTGTGTTTGAAGCATGTCGCAACTCGTAATCGATTCTCAAACATATTGGTATGCGGTAAATCTATCAACATCAATCTAATATGACGTCTTCTCGATCAAGCTGGTTCCAAAACACGAGAAAGACCTTTGATAAAAAACTTCGCTTGCTCTAAAGATAATGAAAAAGTATGTATAAACTTTGTTAACAAATTTATAGTTCTTAATGTATAATTTATAAGCGGAAATTTAAATTTTTATTTTAATAAAGTTCACAGCGACGTTCTTCCAATAGTTTTTTCAATAAATTCTTCAAAGAAAATCACGACTCTATATTTTTTTTACATTTTTTTATAATTGAAATTCATAACTTTGTAGAAATAGTTAGGTTTCTCCTAAAAGAATGTTATTGTTTCAAAAAGTATAATGAAAAAACTTGTGCTGTTGCTGCGTTTTGAATGATAAAATATGTTGAGAAAATTGATACATTTTTAGGTCTTTACTTCTTTAAAGCGTCTAAATGGAGTATTAGCTTACTCGAAGAAGAAAATCTATACTGAGTATAGCAAGCAAGTTTTCTTATGAGTTATTTATTTATATACAATTTTATATACAAGTTATGTATTTGTTGGATAATCCACTGAGAAAATGTTGTATATTTATGTCTAATCTCTTCTTATTTATTGTGATACATTTGAGACTAGATCCTATAAATATTAATGCGGCCTCGACGTTAAAGGTCCGGGGTCAGTCAACAACTCTGAAACTCTAAACTTCGTTATTTACTTGTTTCGTAATTAGGTACGACAAACATATAGCTCAATGTACTAACCTCACTTGGCAATTGTTAATTATCATTCTGTTATCAATTTAATTTGATTAAATTTGTTTAATTTCATTTATTATAAATCAAAAAATCTCTTTATAAATACTTTTCCACTTTATGTATTTAATTCTGTTATTTAAATACATTGTATATTTTAAAATACTATACAGTTATAAAATTTTAAGTCAAGTTGGGTGTTAGATTTGAATTTATACCGCGTCTCTATTGTAATACGACATACGTTAGATGTACGAAACAATTATGTACAATCGATACCTTGTATAATAAAAGTTTCATTTTAAAATACGTTGGATATAAATATTAAATTATTAAAAGTATATATTTTAATGAAATAGTACGTTCAGTACAGCCTTAAAATTTTGATATTTGTGATCTTAAATGAATCGTTGAGTAATGTAATTTGTAATAACTTTAATTAACATTGATCATAAGAAATAGTGTATAATGTATTTTAATCTCATGAAGTAATTAAACCAGTTAGTGTTAGCTAAGTTAAAGCAATCAAACTTGTTGTGACATATTGGTAAAGGTCAAAGGTACCAAGAATATACGCCAGGGTTAAAATTAGATCATATCATTAAGGAAACAGTGATAAGATTTGTTATATAAGTAAAATATACACATTGTAACTCAATGTTCCAATGTATTTCTGTGATTTAGAGTCCAAATATGTATGGTACGGTAATATTATGTTCTGACAATGAATATATACAGGGTGACTGGTGAATTACTATCGATACTTGAGGACGTGATATTTGACGATCATATATGACGAAATAAAAATGAATATAACATAAATATTAATAAACTTCTAAGTAAAGTTAACCAAAAGTTATGTAATTAATTACGCATCGTGTGAACACCCTACAGATTAGGTATACACACACACACACACACACACGCGTGCGGCGGCGTGGTGTTGTATCAGCACGCCGCCGCACGCGTCCACACTTGGAACACTTGGAACGTGTCCACACTTTATTTATTTATACGAAAATTTGGTCAAAAATTATGTACCCATTTTTTTTACATAATTCGAATGAGAATCATGTACCGAGTATTCTCCTTAAATATTGATAGTAATTCATCAGTCACCCTGTATATCTATATATAAATTATAATATTATAGATCTATAGATAGATAGATGATGTCTATAAAACAATTATTCCTTTGCTTTGGCTGTGAATAAGTACGATTATATTGCGAGTATTTTGTAAATGATTCATTCATTAAATATTTATTTTTATTATAGAAGAGTCCAGCAAGGAAGTTGATCCCGGTATCCAGAACAGGGAACATGTGGAAATCCACAGACTTGGTACGTAACATTTTTAATTTTCATAGTATATTATGTCCTATATTTGAATTTGTTTATTTGATATATTTTTTTCTATTTATACTAACATGAGGGCATAATGAGAGTAAAATAATTTATTTCTACTGTAAATCTACTTTCTTTTGGAAGATTTAAATAGTAGTATTTTCTGTATACATTCATCTATATATTAATCCTAACGTTAGCTTAGTAAACTGTAACGATCTCACAACTAACAATTTACTCGTTTAATGACGTATAAATACCCGTATTATTTCATATACTCTTCAAAAAGCTACAAAACTACCATAAAGTAATTTTATTTTTATTAAATTTAATGTATTTATTTGCGGTTATAATATTTCAATTTTAAAATAGGCGCGGTACAACAAAACGGTGAATTGGTATCACGTGTAGAACAGCACACGTCAGCTGATAGTATTGGTGATGAAAAGCCTAAAGTACACGCTCAGACACAGTTGGATGTACCTGCTGAGGGTGTCCATAAGATGATTATACAGGATGGAACTCATGTCAGTGTGTTGGAGGGTACCGTGCATACCACTCCAGCGACTGAGGAACAAACTACCAAGGTAGGGAAGTAGTGCTAGTAATAGTAGTTGTTTTGGTAGTAACGTTTGTAACGTAAGACGTTTGGTAATAATTGAAATTGTATTGAATAATGTACAAATCATACAAAGGATTCTTAGGCTTAGTTTTATTTCAAACCAAAATTTTCAATTGTCAATAAAAAAACACATTCAGTCACATTGTGGTACGCCTTTGGTTTCGTAATTCAATTTTCTCTGAAAATACATTACTACATCGTAAGACAATAATCAAATTAAACTAAAAAGATATATGTAATAGAACAAATGGCTCTCAAATAACGAATACTGTAGATATTCCACGGAGCTGCGCGTTTGGTTCAGACTGGAGCTGCCGCTAATACTCCAACCAATGGACACACCGCTGTAAGAAGAGCTTTCAACGACGTAACAAAGGAAATTAAGAAGAACGTAAGTACACATTCATTGTAATGTTATTACACGCCAGATTCATTAAAGTTTTACAACGAAGAAGTAGAAACATTTAGCTTAAAATAGAATAGCGTACTACCAAAGTGAATGGGTATCGTTAAGTTGTTTTATGAGTCTCACAGACTGCGTTAGGTCATAAAGGGAGGTTTATACGCATACCTGCTGTTTGTCCCCCCTTTTCCTGTATATAAATAAGTTTTATATACCAAATATATATATAAATTGAGATTTTGATAATGACAAAATAAAAATTAATTTAAATATATACTTCTTAACCAAAAGTTATGTAATATATACAGATAGGTATATACACACACGCGTCCACACTTTATAACCTCGCTCAAAGTAGTTAAGTTGATAAATATCAATTATCAGAATGCAGTTAATATATTTATTAATTACAGATTACTTTAGCCTTTCTACATAGAAACTACTTTATTATTATGAAATATTTTCATAAATAAAATTGTACCTGTATTACAGTTGTAGCCATAATACTTAAAGTGAATATATACTTACTAATAATTATGAGTTATGACTTATTGTCACTAAAAGCAGTCAAATTCTTTCTAATGTTAACAAAAACAATATGATATAAATACATTCCGATAGAAATTCTTGGCTAAAACCTGTATAATTTCAAATATACAAGATACATTAATATTTTTAGTGTCACTCACTAGCGTCATAGCGTCCAATTAATCTCATCAATGATTATCATATGCTAAATCATGTGTATATGACATTAACATATGTAATTATATATGTATGGTTCACTAATAAAGCGACGTCTAATAAAATCTAAGAGTTTCGCGAGTATTCAATTAAATAAAACTAATATTTTCTGATTTACTTCGTGTTTTTTATTACTACATACTCCCGGCGTTTCGGTTACTTTACAGCAACCGTGATCTTGGGCAGACGAGACGAAAATGACTAGTTATTTGTGCTCTACCGTCAATGATTTTTTATAGAAAATATTAGTTTTATTTAAAGCTATATCTCATAAGTAAGTAGTTGAAGCCAGTTGCTATTTCATGATAGGAACGCTACCCATACGCTGGCATCCAGTATTCACCTTTAGACATGGCTGAATATGTATTCTGGACAGGCGACGAACGTGGTGTCACCACGGCTATAGAAGACTTTCTCCAAGAAGGAATGGTGGGTTATGCACTTATTTTGCTCATACATTATTTCGCTCTAACTTTTTATAATTTCTTCATAATACACCCATTAATCCAATATTTTTGGTACATTATGTTGTATAAATGTATTATATAAACTTCACCCTTTTATTACGAATTTAAGATGACTAAAGAAGACGCGATAGCCTTTCTTCAAGAGATCAAGTTTAATATCGACTACCTGAGAGCTCATTATACTCAGAATCTCAAAGCAGCTGAAGAAAACGCCCAACAAGAGAAGCTGAGAAACTTTATTATGGAACAAAACGCTAAGGTAAGCTTATATTTAGGTTTCCTTTTGTCGAAGTTTCAATTTATAATGGATGTTATCTGAAATGCAAATAGAATTACGAGAAGGTCGAACAAGATCATATTTATTATCTTGATTTTATTTGATATATTTTTTCAATTGCTATAACATAAAAATAGTGGTGTATTTTGATATAAGTTTTTCAGCACACGTTGAATTATAATAGAATTTCTAACAACCAAATTATATTATACACTAGCTGACCCGGCAAACATTGTTTTGCCATATAAAAAGTAGGGGTTCGTCATAAAAAATGAAAAATTTTGCCTTGTATGTATTTCTTAATTTTTCATTATAAAAATATAAAAACAAAAAATTTCGTTCGAAAATATAAAAAAAAAATAAAAATAAAGGGTGAACAACCTTTATGACTTAGGGATATGAAAAATAGATGTTGGCCGATACTTAAACCTACTCAATATGCTCACAAAATTTCATCAAAATCGGTCCAACCGTTTCGCGTGAGTTTCTGCTGATACATCTTACACGCGCGATACGAGAATTTTATGTATAAGATTATTATCTTATCTTATGGAAATTAATATTTTGTTTGTCATGCCTTATGTCCTCAAATATCGATAGTAAATTGACCCTTAATTTGAATAAACGGCCATTTTCTGCTGGTAAAGATTTATAATCGATCTTTAAAAGTCGAAAATCGCAAGCAATCACAAACTGCTTTGTGCTATTTATTGAGTTTGTCAAAAATAAATTGGTTTTCACATTTATTTTCTTAACTTCGTGGAAGGGAACAGAAAATGTCTTCAAAACAACTTTCGTTGACACTGTCACTTAATATATCTGTCAATTTCAACAGGTTAGAAATGTTTTTATTTTGTATTCAACCTTATTTCGGTTCTAAGAAAGGTAGCTATCGTTTGTTCATTTTCCTTCAGAGATATTTATAATAATTTTCATTATCAAGTAATCCTATTAATAGATTCGCCGCTGTCAAATCTTCGTTATTAAGTACACGGTCTTAGTAATAATCGAATGGTAGTTATTGGAATTAAAACAGCTCATTTATTTATTAAATATTTTAAAGATGTGTGTTTAAATATAATTTAAAGTGAGTTCAGAATACAAAATTAAGAAGTCTTGGATTTTTTTTTCTCTCCCATATGAGATATACGTAATAATTTTACATAAAAAAATTATATTATACGAGAATCAACCATATTTTATCATACCGTCTAGTTTATGAATAAAGAAAAGTATATTATTTTCTAGATAAAGAATTACTTTATCAATAAAAAATAATATAATAAACATATATGTTATTTTTAATAACAAGTCATGCGTCAAGTATTGTGTTCAATATTATGGTCTAATTCATCATTCTGGTTTGATTGTGTAACAATGTTGTTTGTTCGTACACACATCAAGTTAATAAAACATATTACATTGATTTATCAGAGGAAATTGGATGATACGATAACAAAATAAAGTTACGATAGACTTGGTTTGTTAACAAAAAAAATATGTAAATATGTATATTAAGAATTCATTTATAATATCGTTTTTTTATAATATGAGTCGAGGTGATTTTTTTAGAATCAAATTATTCTTATATTACATAATATATTTGTATCGTGAATAATTATAAATAGATATCGTGAAACGTTTGATTGTCGATACTAATTAATTGTCTATTTTCAATTTCAATACTAAAATAGAAATGTCATTAGGTTTGACATTTAGTGGTAAAACACCTTGGAAATCTACACAATATGACAGATATATGTGTGTGTGTCAAATTCATGGTGTGTGTGTGAAGATTACATTATCTTCTTTCTTACATATAAAATTCTCGTGTCGCTGTGTTAGACAGAGAACTCCTCCGAAACGGCTGGACCGATTTTGATGAATTTTTGTGAGCATATTGAGTAGGTCTGAGAATCGGCCAACATCTATTTTTCATACTCCTAAGTTTAAGTGTTGTTCATCCTTAATTTTTTTTATTTTTATTTTCGGACGAAATTTTTATATTTTATTTTTTATCACCACCCCCTATTTTTTTATATGGCAAAACAACGTTTGCCGGGTCAGCTAGTATTATATATGTAATAAAGTCGTTTTATATACACTATTTATAACTCGACAACGCTGTAGGGATATGGTTGAAAATTGGTGGGGATATAGCTTAAAACCAGGAGATGGCTATAGGATATTTAATTCTGTAAAAAGAAAGAAATACATAATAAATTCCAATACATCTACAAATTTTCGGCCTCTGAGGCAGAATACAGTTCACCCGGTCAGCTCAAAATATACATATTACTAATTTCGAAATTAAAGCAGAGAAAATCGGGGTCAAAAACTAGTTTTAAATAAATTAATATATAATATAAACAAACAGATTTATGCGTTCCTTCATAACATCGATTATGTTAAATTCCACAACCAGTTTGCAAAATTCTCTTAAAAAGGGATAGAAAGTTCGCTTCATATGTTAATAAAGATAAAGCTTTTACAGAAATTACATGACACATTCATAATTTTCAGTTGTCATATTTCATGACAGAATTTCATCGTATTTCATAATAACTTTGCGCTTAAAACTTCACCCTTTAATGGCACGTGCGGCCAAAGCCATTACTCTTCTTTATTTATAATGAACTAAGTCGAATTCACCACATTATTCTTTATTTATTTTCAAAGCTTTGTAATACTCTGATAATTTTAATTTTATGTTGGTATCGAAATTTTGGATGGAAATTTGTTGCCGCTTTATAGTTTGACGAACTGTTAATAATGAAGGCATTACAGTGATAAACAGAATTAACTAACACTCGGCTGGTTTTTAATGTTTATAAATTATAACGTACTAGCTTTCCGCCCGCAGCTTCGCCGCGTGGAGTTCGGTTATATTCAAAAGTCTGGGATAAAAACTATCCTATGTTCTTTCTCAAGGTCAACTCTATCTCTGTACCGAATTTCATTAAAATCAGTTCAGTGGTTTAGGCGTGAAAGCGTAGCAGACAGACAGACAGACAGAGTTACTTTCGCATTTATAATATTAGTAGGGATTATTCGTTACAAATATTTTCTCATACGAGAATATGAAAAAAAACTCTTTATCATATTCTATCCATTAAAATCTTTAATAAATATGGTACCAAAAATTTTAAATACCTCACATAATGAGGTCGTGGTGGCCTCGTGGTTAAAGGACCGCCTGTCATGCATACGGGCGCGGGTTCGAAACTTGGCAAGCACCAATGTGATTTTTCCGAGTCATATGTACTTTCTCAGAGTATTTAGACACCACAACAGATTATGAAGGAAAACATCGTGAGGAAACCTGGACTTATAATTTCAAATTATAAGTTTTAAATCGCCAGTCCTTAATCAAACGTGGTTATTAACGCTGTAACCTTCTCCATGTGAGAAGACTTTTTAAGCGTTGAGACGTATGGAGAGAATAATACACTTTTCACTTGTTCAAGGAAAGCTTTAATGAAAATATTTACAGTTATTTATACCAGAAAATTGATTACATATAGAATAGGAATATCCAGTACATTAACTTTGTTCATGAGTAGGCTCTGTCATAATAATAATGATGTCATAACGAAATTACATTCTATTATATAGTTAGGGTTCTTTACAAATATTAAGACTAGGCCTATGGTAAGTGAAAGTATATTTCCAGGAGTACCAATATCGTCCAACGCCCCTCCAATTCCCCTTCGGAAGTAATCCCGAGGTGTTCAGAACTCTCCCCGCTAAGACCTGGGATGTCAACAGTTTGGGAGTCATTCCATCGATGCAAGTCTCCAATGAACTTCGAAATGAACCCGTCAAACGGACCTACGACCCGATGCTCCAAACTAATGTTATCAGTAAGATTTATAATAATAATTATTATTAATTTTACATCGATATTAGTCCGGTCGAATTAGAAATTCGAAGTTACCTAAATTCCCACCAAGCTGAAAATCGGTAAGATTTTTTGAAATACCTATCATTAAAAGCATAATTTGAAAGTTCCCCATCTTTCTCCTGTAAGAAAAAAAATTTATTCAAGGTCAATAGTAAAAAAACGAGTTTTTCCCGATTTTCAGCATGTGCATATTATGACGATTACAACTTTTTGAATCGTTATATCTCAAAAACGGTGGCTCGTAGAAAAAAAAAGTACTAATTAATTCTGTGTAGATAATTTTATGATCTACAATTTTTGTGATAAAACTTACCGTTTTGCTGAATAAATTATATACTTATATAGGTTATAAGTATGTATATATTCTCTATATATAATATAAATATTCAGGCACATCAGATTATGATCGTGACGGTCAGATCATAAGTGAGGAGGAATACGAAGAAATGATGGACAAACTCCGCGCAGCTGATTCACTGTACACGGAGTACACACTCGAAGAAATTATATACCAACTAGCGAAGGTATGTCGAATATAACTTGTATTGAGGATATTCAAAGTACATAACCGTATAAAATATTATTATTTTTGTACAATTTGTCTCTGTGTAGTATCTTAGTTATTAAATTATCGGAATAGGTCATGTAATAAAAAAAATCTGTGTTTAGTTTACTGCAAACTCACAATAATAAACTATAATTCATTATTGTTTATAATTACAATTTACATTTATGCAATAAACTAACAGTATTTACAAAATAAGTAAATTGTATGAGTATATTTTTCGTTATTAGTCGCGACTTATGCCAAAATAAATGATTAAAAACTAAAAAAGGTAATAATTTTCGATTAGCCGTTTCAAAAGTAATATTAAATTAGAACAACAGTATTAAGCAATATCAATGTCAATATTGTCGTTTTAAAATAGAACGTATATTACAAGCAACCAATTATAACATTTCCGAACATATCTGTCAAAGAAATTAAATCAACATAACATTAAAAAGAAATATACTAGGTCGTTTGAAAATGGAATGTAAATTATAAGCAACAAATTCAAACATTTCCAAAAATATTTGTCATCAAAATTTAATAGAAGCATAAAAAAGTTATCAGCGTTTTTTTTTTGAAAATAGAACGTAAATTATAATCAACAAATTCAAACATTTCCGAAAACATTTGTCATCAAAATTTAATAGAAGCATAAAAAAGTTCTCAGCGTTGTTTTTTGAAAATAGAACGTAAATTATAATCAACTAATTTAAACATTACAGATGATGTTCTCCCAGTCTTTGTACCGATCTCCATCATCAGCGCGCGCCGCCACACAGAGGTTCATGACCTTCTTAGAACTAGAGGCTGAACGGGGACAGCTGTCGAGGACCATTGAGAAGAAGGTTTTGGGTGAGTGACGTCGCAAAGGTCATTGACCTTTATCATATGTTTCTATCGCCACAGCATATGGAGCTTTTCTTGTTCTATACATAAACCTAATCGATACATGTAGCACACTATACATATGTAGCATACAAGTTATTTTTCTTTACAAATCTTTTAATTTGTTTCTAGATATATCGATATTATAGTTGCTTAATCTTTTACCTTTATAGAAATTAAAAATCATAAGTAATTTATACCGAACTGCTGTCTTTGACTTGATGATGTAAAAAAACATAATAAAAGATAGTATGTACTCGAATTTGAATATAAAAATATGTAATTCAAAATTATTCATTGCAACACTAGCGCCATTCCAAAAAATTATAATGTTTCTTTTAAAATCCTCTGATAGTTTTTGTTGCCGTATATAACATATGTGATCGGTGTTACCATAGCAAAAAAAGTATATTTTAATGTAGACTTTATCACAATACGCATTATAATAATTATTAACATATATTAATGCCTTAGAGATGAGAATTGTGGCATTCCGAAAGAAAGAGAGGAAACGAAGTTTCGGTCTATCTTTATATCTCTCTTAAATTTAACTCATTACTCGAATATACAAGAATCATCTATGAGGAAAGAGATAGTGCTAGACCATCCAAAGCATAAGCCATCTCTCTCACTCTTTTCAAACCAAAAAATTACTGCAGATTATACGAATACTGCATGTCCATTAGTATATGACGATGATAATAATAATTATTGAATTTATATAAGCATATTTGTTTGTTTTACAGATGTAATGATGGCAGCTCTAACGGACACGATCGGTGATCATCCCGAGTTACTTCAAGCTCGAGACGGTCTTGGTATCACCCCCGCTAATAGGTACGTGTTATTAGTTCTTGTTTAAAAATTAATGATTATACGAAATATTGATTGACATTCATATGATAAAATGATATTAAGTTTAAAGATGTTTTGTGCACTTCCATTTTATATTAATAACTAAAACTATTCATGGAAGGAATATGCAAGGAATACTCGTACCCAAAAAAAATTTTGTTTCTTTTTTAATAATTTATTAAAAAAAATCGTTAATACGAATATTACTATAATTTCTGTGTGCAAAATTTAAATGAAAAAGTAAAATGAATAGTTTTCCGATAATTTTGACTTCCTGAACACGGTTTCCATGAAGTCGCAGGTGCGAATCACACAAATAATCTTCTATCTTCTATATATATAAAAATGGATTGCTGTTCCTTAGTCTCGCTAAAACTCGAGAACGGCTGAACGGATTTATCTTATCTTAGTCTTGAAATGTTCGTGGAGGTTCAGGGAAGGTTTAAAAGGTGAGAAAAATTGATCCATTTCCGGGAAAACCCTAAAAACAGCCCTTTTCTATTTCCCATACAAATGTTTTCTTTGACATTAGATTTTAAACAGGAAAAACCTGATTATTTATGGCCTCTAGGACGGAATAGAGTTCGCCCGGTCAGCTATACATATATTACTAATGATGAAATTAAATTAATTAATTAACGCGGACGAATTCGCGGCCAAAAACTAGTAGTGTATAAAATTTTACTAAACCATACTTTTACACTTCTCTTGTTCTTAACAAAAGAAATATTAAGATTAGAGAAATATTAAGAATTCGCGTATTGAAATAATTACACTAGTATAGAGAATATATATAAAAGAAAATAATATATATTTTCAGAATAATGAACCAATTTCTGGAAACGAGTGCATCAGAGCCGAGTATGTCCCGCGCCATTCTCGCCGCTTACAAGGACGAACTACTCAAAGGACCGCCATTGCACAAACTGGGCTTCACAGACCGAAACTAAATAAAAAAACTTCATTATTGTAATTTATTTTATTTATTAAAATTTGCTTTATATATGTTGGCAGTAATGTTATGCCAAATTGTAGCCAAATTGTTTAAACATTTTAAGGTACAAGTGTTACCATATATAAATCAATGTTTACATGTTAGCTTTCATATTCATTCATTATAATTTGAACCGTTTATAATTAATTAATAGGTACCTGACAGTTTTTTGTTAGAAATTATAATGTACAATAAAAAATATGTGTCCAAAATAGATGTAAAATATCAAGTTATTTATTCCAAAAATCTTGAATCTATATTTACAAAAACTATTTAATATTTTAATTTAAAAATACTAATGGCTTTTAGAGAATTATAGCGAGTTTTATCAGATTTTATTATATGTATAATAAAGGTGCTTACAGTTAAATTCGTAAAACTGTTCTCTGGTATAATTTTTTTGAAATAAATACTTGAAATACCAAAGACATGTAAAATTTATAAAAATCTGTCGTCTGCAAGCACCTTTTTAGTAGCTTAGTCATAAGTAATTTATATAAAAGTATTATTAATATTCCATACATAGTAAAATATCTAATCAGATATTCTTATTACATATTTTTCTACTTAATCTTCTAAAAATGTGGTGTGCTTTTTGGATATAATAATAGCATCAGAATTATGAAATTTCTAATCTTTAATAACAATTTGATCGTCAACAAAGCCTCATATCAATGATAGCAACATATCAAAATGTAATATTTTGAAATTAAATTAAAAGTATGCCGGAAAGCACAGCACTACATATCTTTCTATTTACATCTTCCTTAAAGGGATAAGACTCGGTGAAAACTTATTAGAAATTAAAATATCTGCAAGACTAAAAATTCAGCATTGTTAGGATCGATGCTAAGGAATCGGCGTAAAATTTATTATATTTATATTATTCTTTGACATTTAATAAAAAATATTTAATGTCATTGCTGTTTTATTACAACAACATTATATGTATTATAATTAAGTACCAACCCTATTTGACTGGTTTTTAATTGACACTTAACTATCTATAGGCAATGTTTTTTCTATTAAAGTTGAATACATATCAGACATGATCTTTACAAATATATATACCAATATATTATGTCAAAATGTAGAGTAGTAAGAACAATATTATTCATATAAGTTTAAGGTTCTTATCTACAATTAGAAAAATTAGTCCTTAATTCAATTCAACAGTTCAATTTATTCAAACATTCCACAGCCCAACAAACACTACACATTTTTAACTTCATAATGAAGCTGTTAAGGCTTTCACAATTTACTTATTACACATACTATCTTCAGTATGAGATTTTCTTTTAACTTCTGAATTTCCATATATCCATATGTTTTATATCAACATACTTCCAAATATATCTGTTTATTATTAAATGAGTAGTTATTTAGGAGTTTTCTAATCACTATAGCTATACAAAGTGTAGATTTCATGTGTTTGGATGATACTTGATTGTTTTATATAATAGTTGTGTAGCCAAGCCAGCTTCAAAATTTAGTTTTATTTAAGCTTCTGTGTCGGTGTCATGTTGGTCTGTGCTTATATCTTACATAGACGATAAAGGCGGGAATGCTGTCTGCTTGCTCACAACAACTTTCTTGTGTTGATATGAAATGTACCCCTTTATTTTACCCTGGTATATTAAATTAGCTACAATACACTGCGTCTCATCAGAATCTACATCTTTTTCACCCATCACCTGCAAAGCAGCTTGAAAGCTAGCTATGTCTATTTGGTGAGTGTTCTCAACTAGGAAAACTTTCCTGAACAGATTTCTATATGCTGTTATTTTTAATTTCTCAACAATCAAGTATATCCCAGCGCTGATGAAAAACTTTTCATGCTTCTCCATAACACTATCGATTCCTCTCAAATCTCCATTTTTGACAACTGATACCAAATCCCAGAACTGAAGAAGATTATATTTTTCAAGCAACTGCTTTGTGGGCATATAACCTAGTAACATTTTGACTGGAACCAGATATGTTAAAATTAATCTTTTATTCTTATGGCTCTTCTTATGGCAGTTTTCAAAAGCAAAAGATAGATATTCATTTGCTGCTTGATACTCTGAATCGAACATAGCTTTTCTACCAACAAAATATCTGTAGGTAATCTGCTGTGCGAGTGGAAATTGATACCAAAGGGATGAAGAATCTATAGCTCTTATCAATGGTTTGCATAAATGCAGTTTGTTAATACGAAAATATACTTTAAGAAGCTGATTTGCGAGATACAGCATTCCATGTCTTTTTGTATCTTCATCCGATGTTCTGTTATCTGCACAACAAACTCTGAAACAGGATAACAAGCTTTCCGCTGCCTTTTCTAAGATCTTGCCATTACTTTGTGCTGAAAAACAAAAAATAATTACTATTCAAACTTTAACCCATATCAAATTATATTATTATTAACAATAATCTTACGTTGGGTAGCTTCAGCTTTCTGGGCAACAAGTCGTAAATCCAAACATGTTGTGTACATGAGCGGCAAACACCAATTTTGATCCTTTTGGGACATTAGTACTTTTACAACGGACACCACACATTGACTTTGATGACTATATGCTGCCAAGTAGTCTTTTTCAATAACAGCCTGTAAAAACAGAATAATTTAAGCTGTACTCTCATTGTGATATACCATTGTTTTTGTGGAATATATAAATTTTTGTAAAGCGTAGATTATACTATGAAGAAAATATTAATAACGGTTATATTACCTTTACACATAATAAATGGCATATAATTATTTCATCAATGGGGGCCACACAGTTTCCTTCAACCAAACTAGCAATATCGCTTGATCGAAGGTTTCTGTTAGTGACATGAGAATCTCTGAGCGATATAAGTCTAGCGAGCTCATCTCCTTCTGAAAGTCTGTACATTCGCTCCACTGTTTGGATGTATTGGTTAAGAGTGCCGGTTGATGTCATTTTGTTGCTTTTAAAGTCGTTTATAATAATTATGTTATAGAAGTATTTCCGAATTAAAACATGAACATAATAAGAGTTTTACATAATTCGGTTTTGTCACAATTTATATTAAAGTTCGCTTATAATTACTAAAGCACTGCAATTATAATTTATAAATTTTGACATAGGTAGGTTAAGGTACCTACAGCCTACTGCCAAACTTCAGTTTTTGACATATAAATTTTAAGAATAAATCGACTACAGATTATAGAAAAAAGATATTTTATCTTTTTAAGATATACCTAAAACATCTTTTAAAGTAAATCACTAAGTACAAATATTTGAAATTATTTAAAATGCTTCTACTTCAAACTAATCATTATACTTGACAACATTTTTTGTGAAAAAATATTTATGTCTATAATTACATACTATTATTTCCATCGACTTATCCTAATAGACTGCAGTAATTTTTTGATTTGAAAAAAGTGAGAGAAATGGCCTATGGATATGACTGTGTCCTAAGGCATATCCTTTAGTTACGTCGATGATTATTTCTACTGACACATACATTCTTTATACATAAATTCGAAAAGGATTCTTAAATAAATATTGTTGTAAACATAATAAAAATAAAATGTACATTGCATGTTTCGTCTTAATACTGGCTAATTTTTTTTTATTTAAATGTAAAATTGAGTAATGATAATATTTTCCAAATACAATTATCTGTAAATTTTAAAAGGTTAAAAAGTTATTTCAATTACATTCTAAGTCCTCGATGGAAAGTTGGAACATTTTGAAGAATTTATTAGGTAAACAGAATTTAATAAAGAATTAAATTAAAAAGCAATATTTTAACTACTAATTCTACTCAAGGTTGTTTCTATCGTTTTAGAAATTCTTTGTTCCATTCTACACTTGTGCTAATAACATCATCACCTGGTTGTTATTTTTCCTGTTCAATTTCCTAATTATTGATGTGTCCATAGCATTTGTAGTTTATTAAAACGACCTATGAAATAGCTTCTTGAAATAGTATAGTTCTTAAACCAGGGATCAAAATAAGGCTATTAATACTATTTGTATCTCAAAAATTTTGTTACTTAAAAAATTGGTCTCACACTTCTGCTAGGCTTCTACTGTTTAATATTGGTTTAAGACTAATCAATAGTAAACCCGAATAAAGAGTATAGAATACTAGCTTTCCGCCCGCAGCTTCGTCCGCGTGGAGTTCGGTTATATCGCGTTTCCAAGAGAACCTTTCAAAAGTCTGCGATAAAAACTATCCTATGTTCTTTCTCGGGGTCAACTCTATCTCTGTACCAAATTTAATTAAAATCAGTTCATTGATTTAGCCGTGAAAGAGTAACAGACAGACGGACAAAGTTACTTTCGCATTTATAATATTAGTAGGGATTTTATTTTTTCGACTTATGAATTGACATTCAACCTATGGTTGTTTGGTTACCAGATTTAGAAGGTGGTCTAACATTGGAACTACCCAAATTAACTACCTATTACCAAATTACTTTTGGAGAACCCAAAAATTCGGCTGTCCTAAAGCTTAGTAAGGAAGACAAAGTTTGAAAGTTTGATATTTTTGGGTAAGAATAAAACATGAAGGTTAAGGATTAAGCTGCGTTCAGGAGTCTCGTCTAATGAGTGACAATTTCCATTTTTCACGCCATGCATACTTTTACATAACATAAAGAAATACAAATATCAAACGCAATGGCAGAATTTTAAACTAAGCTGAAAGTCATCAAAAGATAATTAATAATGTAAATCCACAATCTGCCCCTAATACATTTAATTTAAAGTAAACAATATCACCTGAAACAGTAGTAAGTGAAGTAATTGATAACACAAAAAGAAATACTCTAAAGTTATATAATATATTTCAAGTGGCTTTTGTGTGAAACTTTATGTGTGAGCAACCGTGACATTGTTGACATTGTTTTATTGAATGTTTAATACAATGAAAATAATTATAATATTGTTTGTTTTGTGTGTAACAGTTCCATTGGTAATTGATTTGAAAGTACGTGATGTATACTATATATGTACTTAAAGATAATTCATTTGGAGTATTTTGTTTTAGGTAATAAGTGGCCCAGTTCTTGAAGGACTTAATTATATATATGGTAAATTCAAAATGAGTGTTGACAAACTTGTGAGTGATGTGAAAGATGACTTGAGCGATGTTTGGAATAGCACAATGGCGGCTGTGGACGTGCTATTGAGAGCTAAAGAAGAATATAGGGAATGCAAAGAGGATACTAATTACATTTAATAAATGTTTATAACTTATAAAAAAATATTGAAACCAAGAAGTATCTTGTTGGTAATAACTTAGTAAATAAGCTTATAAACTAATTTATAACTTAAGGTATAAGTCTTATACTTAATAATAATAATTATAGAGACTCTGACTCAAATTGTTCAAAGTTTTCTAATCCGGTAAGTTTTCTAATTTTCGAAATATGTAATATAAGAATTTGCATCGAATGTTGTAAAACAAAAATATTAAGTATCTCTCATATTTTTTTGTAATAGCTACATACTAGCATAAGGGATTGACGATGTAATCTGGCCTTTTCAGTGATATATTTACAAAAGGACTTGAAAACTGTAATACTAAAAGAAGTATTAAAGCATTAATAATGTGCAGTATTGGTAGTAAATAATAACTGTAATTGTGAGTCCTGGTTTTATGATTTTCGTTAAATTGAAACAATGGACTGAATCAAAAAATATACCTATTTTTATGAGAAAAAGACATTTTTATTAATGTTTTTTCTTATTTTTGCATAAATAAAAATAACAGTTCATCTGCACTTGACTTTCATTTCAGCATTTTGTTTCCTATTGTAATATAATGAAGTAATGAAACTATAAATGATTTATGGTTGTGGTGCCAAAGTTTTGTGCCTTCGAATATGTAACAGTGCTATAATTTAACAAAAAGCTTTAAAAAGTTTTTTAAACACAAGTTTAATTCGACTTTACAGTTTACACACTATTCTCTTTTGGAGCTTCTACAGTCTACACCTATATATTTACCGTCTGTCTTCGACTGTCAAATGGCACTTGAGTTTTGACAGTGTCATTGCGTTCAGTCGGCTGATACTTTTGATTTTCAAATATTGATTATTGAATTTATTATTTGTAAAAATGGAAGAGAGTGTAGCTTTAGATACTTCGAAACAGAAACAATTTGTCAAATCTGTGAGAGGGATAAAAAAACTCCTTAAGGTATGTCACATTTTTTGAATAACACACAATACTAACCTATTCGTGACAATGTCTTATTTATATTTCTGTTATAGAAAAAGGGAAAAGTTTCTAAACCACCTGTGGTTAAAGAAGCTGAACCAGAAGTTGTTGAGAGTAACAAAAGTGATAAGATTAAAGGTGGTAAGATTATTAAGCGGAGACGAAGGGGTTTAGTCTATTTGGCACATATACCACATGGTTTTTATGAGGTTAGTAAACATCAATAAAATTATTATTGTAATTAATAGTTTTTTTAATATTTAGTACAATATTTTTAAATAAAATATTTCACTACATATATTATTTCCAACTATTTCCAGCATGAAATGACAGAATATTTCAAACAATTTGGAGTTGTGACGAACGCTCGCGTTATAAGATCTAAACGTACCGGTAGTTCAAAGGGATATGCATTTGTTGAGTTTAAGGAGCCCACAGTGGCTCAAATTGTTGCGGAAACTATGAATAATTACCTTATGGGCAAAAGGTTAATAAAAGGTGCGTTTTTTATGATTACTATTATTTATTATGCCATAACTTTCAATGTTGCTCACTTTTATAAACTATTTCATCAATTAATAAGACTATAACAATGTATCTCAATGTGTTACTAGTTTTTTGTATTCAATTTTGCAGCTGTTTACATACCTCCTTCAAAGCAAAAAAGGAGGGCTCTTAGAAAAAAATGGAACTCTCAAAATAATCCAACAGCTCGACTTAGAATGAGACTGAAAAGGGTATTTTAAAGACAAATTTACTTAATAGTTCTTTAATATATTTATAGTCGCAGGTTTTTTCTAATAACAATATCTGGTTTTTCAGAGACATAATGCTAAGAAAAGTGAGGAGGACGAGCTTAAATATGCTCAGAGAATGTTGGCTAAGTAAATATTTCATTATAATCAGTTATTTCATGTTGAGTACATTGCTTTTATTTCATACTATCTATATATATAAAAGATTTGTATTGTATGACTAAACATATAATAAAATTTCAGTCTCAATAACACTAAGAAAAAACTAAGTGAAATAGAAATTAATTATGATTTCTTCAAACCTGTTGATGTACCAGCAGAGTTGATCGACAAGATTCAAAATGAATCCGTGATTGATGTTAAGCCTAAAGAAGAAATTAAAGAAGAACCAGAAGTCAAGCCCAAAAAGACAAAGAAAGAACTAAAAAGTGATAATAAATTAAAAGTCACACAAGAGATACCAAAACAAAATATAAAAGCAAAACCTGAAGGTAAACCTAGTGTAAAAAAATCTAAGAGAGTTAATATTGAAGAGGCAAACCAACAGAAAGATAAGCAAGCTAAGTTAGATAAGGCTGGCGTCAAAGCGTTGGAAGATTTCATACAAATCAAAGATTCTGATGGCGATAGTGACAGTAGTATAGACTTTGATTCAGATGAATATGAAAAAATGATAGAAAATGATGACGATTCATTGTTTGATGACGACAGTGATGTAGAGGAAAATGAAAAGCCACAGAATGATAAAAAGAAAATTAACAAGTTAGTATAGATGTTGGAGCATATTTAAATTGAAATATCTGGCTTGGCAATCAATTAATTAATATGTTATTAATTTCAGAACAAAAAAAGCTGTAGTCCCTAAACAGGTGAATGTTGTGCAAAACCAACGTACTAAAGTGAATAATAAAAATGTTAATAATAAAAAGATAAAACAACCACAAAAGCGAAAAGCAGCTACAGGTGAGTTAGAATCGTTTTAGAAAATATTATTATAAAGACTAGGTATAATTAGTAGCTCTATATGGTTGAGTGTTAAATGGGGCCTTAAGGGTCAATAATTAGTTATCATCATCATTTATTAGTTTCAGAATTTTTACAACATTAATTTTTTTAGTTTCAGAATCAGCTGTAAAAGTCAAGAATGCAAAGTTTGAGAAGCAAAATAAAAATAAGTCTTTGAACAAAGTAATGAAAAAGAAGAAATAAAGCAACATTTTGACAGTATATTGCTTCTAATTAAGTATCCATTGAGTAGGCTAACTCTAAGATAGTAATGTGTAGCAAACATTAGTTATGCTCAAGAATTAGTAATAAAAACTTTGATTTGGCTAGGAGTAGTTTCAGGGTGAAGAAAAAATTAAACATTGCAGAATTTAAAATAAATATACTATGATCATAGACACATATACCTACTTAAGTTCATACTTTTTTTTTTTATTAAAAAATGTTACAGATTAAGTAAGAAATGTGATTTATTTCTTGAAAAGTTATTTAAGTCTGATGTAGCCAGATTTCTTTTCTATATTAAATAGATTTATTCTGTGTCATTTAATCTTACAACTACTGGTCTTTCATCATCTTCATCAGAATCTAATCCTGTAAAGTCCCATTGTAACTTTTGTGACAAATTTTCTTTGAGACTTTCCATCAATGAGAGTAGTCGACCATCAACTTTACTCATGTGTGCAGTTCGGAATAGTTCTCTTAATTTTTTATACACCAAGTTTTTGTTCATGACAATATCAGCCAAAAACTCTTCAGGCATCTCGTCAATTTGAATTTCAATAGTCTTAATGAAGTGGAAATATACACTTCTATATTTGTGAATTGCATCTTCACAAGAGCAGAACAAGATGACCATACTTTTCCAATGTTCAAATGCTTCAAGGGAATGGCCGATGAGAAAACACAAAAATGCAAATTGCATTTCACCTATTATATGGAGAGGCCTGAAAATTATAAAAATATTACAATCGACTTTATTTAAATATTGTGATGCCTCGTGTTACATTTGGGATTGTTTTATATGTATAATTCAAACTTCTTTACAATTTATTACTTTATTTTAATTGATTAACATTCTTTTATATTATATCAAATCCATACTATCTAATGTGATGGCAAGCCTATTCTCTCTAAACTGAACATCATTCTTTCTAATTTGTTTTTATTTGAATTTATTTAATTTCTTTTTTGTCGCCTGCCAGCGCCACAATGTGATATGTAGTAACTTTTAAAGAGTCTCCATATAACAATATATAAATACAGCAGGTTAGAAACTTACTCATCATGTGCTTTAATCATAAGTTCCAATGTATAAGACTGGTCCAAATAATGTTTAGTTATTTCTGTCGGTGATGAACCAGGTGGGTATTTGTCTTTTGGTATTTCTGTAAATCTCATTGACATTCCTGAAAAATATAAAATATTTTGTGTATTAAATAGAGAGTAAATGAAAAAATTCAAAATTTGCAACTATTATAGCTCACTATGAAATAGTATGTAATATCTTCCATAGATAATCATTTTAGTTATTACTGACATATTGAATAAAAGTTTTAAAGGATTCTAATGTGATAGCAGTATTATTATGAATATTATAGTCGAAAGCATATGGCTTTTTCTGTGTTTAATGAATGGTATTTTTATAATTTAGTTTACTTCTAGGTGGAAAATTCATACAAGAATATGAGAACTAGTAGAAGCTATATGAACAATTGAGAAATATCGATGTTATATACCAGGAGCAGGTTTTAAGTTTGGCAACATAGCTTCTTCTTTTTCTTGTTGTGTGGATCTTCTCGGCCTCTTGAGACCTGATTGACTTGGAGTTGAATTTCCATCTTTATTTTCAGTGATATTTGATACCTCTGAACTTTCAGTTACTTTAACACCTCGAGGCCTGTCAGCATCACTTGTTGAGAGCAGTTCCACTGATGATCTTATCAAGCCATTTTCAGGGGATAATTTTTTTGCTAGATCAGCTGGAAGTAAGAGATTTAAAAGATGGATTAGCTAGACGTAAAAGATAGATTAGCTAGAAGTAAGAGATAGATTAGCTAAAATCATCTAGTAAATAACTTTGTTACTTGCATAAAACTTTTTTAAAAAGTCAGGTGCTTTATTAATCTTACCATTAATTTGTGAAGATAAAAGTTTCCATTTCTGCCATATTTCATATGGATATGGAGCCAAATGTTTATCTATATTCAGTAAATTCTCCCTTAAACGCTGAACACTTTCTTCACTAATTTCTTCTCTACTAATATCTTCCAAATGCTTATCCCACATTTTTACCAATAATTCTCTTTTATCAAAATAGTGCATAAACCCTGACCTAAAAAAATTATATTTCAAATTTACAGATAAATAGTTCGGATTTAAATATCTTAACACAAAGTTTTCAGTGTGGACATTTGCTAAGCATAGGAATTACAAGGTACAGAGAGTATTTATTGGGTACAAGAAGAACCAAAATTACCTAGGAGAGACATCGCCTGTGTCTTTATTCACTGCAGCATAATGAACATAGTGAAGACCCGGTGGAATCATTTTTATTCCACGAAAATCCTCATCGGTGTTCCAACATTGCATATCAATTCCAAATTGAGTCTCTTGGGGCACTCCGAGAAATATAAAAGTTCCTCCTTCCACTAACAGCTTTTTAGCAGTTTCTTGATCCATTTTGGTTTTAATTTCAAACCGTAGTATACAGATATTAATAACAAATACAAAGAATCGAAAATGTGTTTACATCTTGCAATGCTTCGCTTTAGTTTGACGTTTTGCATTATACTTTGACATTTGGTCAAAAACAAGTATTGCTATGCTCATAACAATAAAATTTAACACCTATTATATATTTTGCAACTGTATAATTCTACATTCATCGATTTTAGATAAAAACTAGGGAAAAAGTTAAATTTGTTGATTGATTTACCACTACTATTGAATATATGTATATTTAAGTAAAAGTTTCTTATAAAGATAATTTATAGAGTTCTTCTTTATCTTTTAGAATCTGACTTGAACGAAAACTTCATATTTCGTGTCTATAATTAATTTTCATTCAATTTTTTTTTTCTTACTTGGAATATACTTTCAAGAAATTAGCTCAAATATATTTTTCTAATAAGAGATTTTATTAAAAAAAACATATTTGTCAACAATTTTGCTTTGACAAATTTTTGGAGCAAATATTTATTGATAACTTTTATTTCTTACTAATCTCTCATAAGATTTTTGAAATGGGAAATTCTGTTTGGCATTAGATAAGATAGGTTCTTTTTGGATATTATTAGTGTAATAATAATTTTAAGGCAATTCTCAAATCTAAAAGAAAGGATATGCATCCATTGCGCTAAAACTTTATGTAGTATACTAAAATTTATGTTTTGTATACGGGAACTGCAGCTTTATTCTTCTAGGATCATAGTAATATAAGATTTTTTTAGAAAGACAAGTGATTTGGATGCTATAACGTCACAGTTTGTCCCCCTTTCATAATATTTATTATTTTCTTTATTTTGAAGTGAGAATATACTAAAAAATAGTTCTAATTGATGTTGCAAACTTCCTTGTGTCGTTAAGAACAGGAAGTCGGACGTTTGAACACAGAGGATCATATTTAAACTTTTAATAAAAGTTTAGATCGTCTTTTATTTCAAAAAGATGCTTAACTATTTCCTTAATTACTACAGAACATACGGTACCTATTAAAAATACTTACAAATAACACTTACCAGTGGATTAAGTAGCTTTGTATGTGGTTAATAAATATTTGATATTTATTTTCATAAAATTCTACTTGAAAGAATTAGAAAGAACCGATATCTCATCAGCACGTGTGCGAATAATAGCTAACGGAAACAGACGAAAGACTTTAAGAAAACCTCGTAACCCAGTCCTGGTCTTTATATAAATTTACTATTAATTTGTACCTCCTAGAAGAGACTTACGAGGTTTGTTTAAAATTTTTCAATTATTCTGACACTGTTTAGACATCTCATTATTTTAACAACATCATGAAAAGAAGTCTGTCTATTAAATCTAAATATACATATAAATTAAAAAACCTATTTATAACAACATAAAATCCATTCATAGCTATAAATTTACTGATATAGTTTTGCAATGAAAAGAAATCGGGCTCTCAACGGTGACTCAGTTGAATGAACATACTTAATATGGCTACTACCTATGTACGACTATATTATGGTTTTAATGCGAAATTTCCGTTGAAAATCCGTCTGGTTTTTTACGAGTTGCCGCTAAGTGGTTAACACAGGGCCTGCTGTTAACTACAGCACCTGATTTTTTGTTTTAGTAGAGATTTTTTTGCCTAATTATTTTTCAACAGGTGACGAATTCCCGTCTCGAGTACCACTACAACGAGACGTAGCGGCAATCAAAAATAAAGTTTTAGTTATCGTTTGCAATTAGTGGGTTTTATGAACGGTTCTATGACGGCACTCATAGATTTCGGGTTTTGGTTTATTAAGATCTAAATTACCGATATATTGAACTCTTTACAGTACGCAATAGCTTGTTACTGAATATTGTAGGAGTGATTATAAAGAATAATGAGTCATTATAAATTTTGTTTAAGTCTTTTTATTCTAATTTTATGTCATTAAATATTTCGTTAGTAACATAAAGGGTAGAAGTGATTAGTCATAGTTGTTAATATTATTGAAATGTTATTTAAAACCAAAAGGATAAGAAGCTTTATTTTTGAAAAATAATAAGTTATTTTAATTTGCCTGTAGTAAACAAAAATAATAATTTGATTACTTCAAAGCTTAAATATATAGGTAATTCAGCAGCCCGATACGAAACAAACGTCAATTTGTTGCTTATAATGTTTTATTTAAAGCGATCTTATTTTTCAGATATACATAGTTTATACAAAAAGTAGAATTCATTTTATGAAATATTCAATTGCATTAACCGTATAGCCAAACACGGTTTGATAAATTTCGATTTTTGATATCGCTGACGAATAGACTCGACAATATACACCTGGGAAATTAGGATGCAAATTTCACTTCGCCGCTTCCGTGAACCTATATTCAGGGATTCTTTGTTTTCATCGGAAATTTAAGGATAGAAAATCGCTAGGGAACGCGATATATGCGGCCAAAACTGAAAAGGAACTGGCAAAGTAATAATATGCGATATTTCAATATATGTTATTTGAAGAAACCACGTCTGTTCAAATCCCAGAGCTACGTGAAAAGACTAGACGGATAAACAATATACGGGAAGGTTTCTACATTCTTTTCAATACTATCTATCCGGCTATCGATTAATTTGAAAATATGTAAATATTTTCACTATATTTGCAATGTTTCTATCTGAGGAAATAAAATTCGATTCTTTTAAAAATATTACTGTTCAAATAAACGTAAGCGTTCATAAAAATAAATAAATTAGAAACCGTATAGATCTTCTTATTAAAATTTGTTGTTATTGTATTATAACTTAAACCTAACTATTAAAGTAACAAACAAAACCATTTTTTTTTTCGCATAAATGTGGCATTTTATAGTTACTACATAACTAATTTGCATATGCAAGTGATACATTTACGTTTATACCTTCTATATTTCATAGAAACATTTAGGAATATAATCTTACAGGACACAGTTGAAACCTAACTTAAAGTTCTAATTGTTGTCATCAATAGCATTATCTTTTATGCTTCATTATATCCATTTACTGTTCAGTACTTATTTAGGATATTTGGTGTTCGCATTGAAACTCAACACAAACTTGTAGCGTCGGTGCTCTCACAGAGTTAGGCAAACTTTTAATAGTGTTTATGTCCCTAGAGAGCCTGAAACGTGCCGTCGAAGTACATCAACTGTGCACCGGTTATCTTGGAAGCTATTACACAAATACTATCGCCTGACTCCTTGAAGAAATCTCAACAGAGCTTTATATCTTAGAAGTTTTCAAATAACTTTTGACTTGGTGTTAGTGGTTTTGTAGATAGTACATATATAGCGTAAGCCATTTTCTTGCCATGAAAGGCTGAGCGATTCAAAATATTGTGATAAAAACTTTATATGTAACTGAACATATGAAGAACGTAGAATAAAAAATTGTGGCGTCGTGTTTGTTTTGCGATCTAAATAAAAAAAGATAATAAAATAGTTAAATTCTAACAATAGTTTTCATTTAATAAAAAAAAACTACAATGCGTATAATATTAATTCCTAAATTTTAATCTAAAATTCGGGCCGAAACCTGTCGATGCTCGCTGTGTTTGCGTCCTAGAGTCAATTAGACTTTATGTTTCGATTGGCCAATGTTTAACAAGCAGAGTTAGTTTATTTTCGATTTCTTCGCCCCCTAATCCGACGCCAGTCGTCCAGTTATTGTTTCTGTTATTGGCGCGGGAAAATTGAATTTGTCCACAATCCACGGGATTGCAATGCGGCTGGAGGATCCAAACCAAAACAAACATTCAATTTTCCAATCCAGATTTAGTCTGCCATTGTTGCGGGCACGATAGCAACGATGCAAGGTGTAAACTACAATCCGCCAATTATCATCGTGCAGTTTTACATTACGAAATAGTTTTGATATTGCTAGCATTAACTTATTCTTATTGTTACTTCGTTAAACTATGTTTTATAAGACATTGACGTAAGATAAAGCATGTCGTGTATTTGTAATTACCAATTATTATTAAAATATTTGAAAAGTAAATACAGCTATGTCATTACTATATATAAATTAGGAATATATTTTATTTATTAATTACGTAACTAATATGTCAGTGTGTATTTATACAAACAAAACGTATGAATAAAACGCTACAAGTAAATAAATTGCTCACAATTACTGTATAATTTAAAATGTGTTGTATTAAAAATAAAATAGAAATGAAAATTCAAAGAATGGGTTTTATTTGATAATGGAAAAAAATGGTCCAATGCAAATAGCGTCTGCAATAAAAAGTGATCAAGTTAATTAGTGAGGCAGTTCATTGGCAACTAATTGCTCGTTTTTTTCGTATGTGAGCTCTTTTACAGATTTAAAAGTTAAAAGTTATGTGTATTCTGCACAAAGTATATTTGATTTTATTTTATCGATGATAAAATTGTTGTAACTATATTTTTTCTATAAATATACGATTTAAATACATATTTATATACTGTATATATATGACAAGGTGAAAGTCTTGCTATAAATCTAGGCTTTTTAATTTTTTATTAATGTAAAAATTCACTACATATTTTTCAATACAAAATGTTATAATATCAAATTTCAAAATGTATGTAGTTATGAACTCTTCGTGTGTCAAATTACTTCAAACGAACGTATAAATATTTTACGCGAATACTATTTTACGCGATTTCTGTCTGCAACGGATCTTTCTTACGTATCATTAAACTCAAGTGATAGTGCTGACTCACAGAACTATTCCTGCTTTTCTAAAACTTTATATAACTGTATTGTAGCTCGCCTCATTAGCTTTGTTATTTTATGTACCGAAAAGCGATGGCGTGGATATATTTCTGCGACTATGTAGCTATGGTGCATAAGAATTTTAAGGTGTTGTTCAATTAATTAAATTATTTGTTGGAAAATTCTTTGCGCCTCTTCAAAGTTGGAAAATAGCTGGCGTTTGCTATCATGGACGTATTGTGCCGTATCATTGTGAGAGCTCGCTT